GCCGTACGGCCAGATGCGCGGAGAGAGGGTCGACGAAGGCCTCGGGCTCCGTCTGACGGGAGGTGGCGGCCGCGAGGGCGGCACCCAGCGGATCCAGGCTTGGATCGATCTTGTCCTCGACCGACAGAGCCTTCGGGCTCTTTGGAACGGGGGCGGGTGCCAGGGGGAGGAGGGGCGTGGGTGAGAGGAGGTTGGATAGGGAGGGGGGGGGCAAAGAAAAGAGGTGGCGCTATGGCCATGGGGCCGGGCACAGGCGGGCATACCTCGACGGCCTTGTCGCTGGAGGTGGTGACGATCACAACGTTGGCCTTGACGGCGAGCGGATGATCCTCCTGGCTCACGGAGACCGCAGGCAGGGGGGTAGTGGCCGCGAGGTCCAGCTTAATGGGTCGGCTGCTGGGCCTGTGGGGGTGTGGGGGGGGAGGGAGGGGGGGGAGGGTTCAACAAGGCCCGCGATGGGCCACAACCACGCGCAAACATACACACACGCGTGCACACATGACAAGGGCAGGGCGCAGGTGGGTCAGTCGCGATCGGATGTCCAAACGGGCACGGCGGCACGAGTGGCGGAACAAAAGAAGGACCAGCGCGAGGTGGCGGCCCTCACGTACCACTCGAGGGGGGAGTGCTGGTCGGCGGAGTCGGCCATGGTCGGGAGCGGAAGGGCGACGGGCACGTGCGGGACCGCAAGGGGGAGGGGGAGGGGGCGAGGCAGCGAGTGCGAGAAGCGCGGTGGGTGTGGTCGGCGGGCAGAGGCAGAGCGGGGGAGGGAGGGGAGGGGGTGCTCGAAAGAGTCGGAGGAGGCGTGTCTCCGGCGGGGGCGCCGCTCAGGCGGAGGGGGATCTGAAAAGCCCAGCCGGGGCCACCCCCGCTAGTCGTCGTCAGATGGCAGTCCCGGAGATGACCCCTCCCCCGGCCGCCCCCTCTCGGCAAGAGGACGAGGGGCGGTCCCTCCGGCCTGGGCGTGGGGCGTCCTCAGCCGGCGGAACGGGCACCAACCTGTGCTGGGAAAGAAGATCCCCCCCGCCCCGCCCCGCCCCCCCCCCCGGTCAAGGTCACAAAATAACAACGGGGGGTGCCCGGCAGTGGTGTGAGGGCACAAGAAAAAAAAGACGCGAGCCACTCGGGCTCAAGAGCAACGCCCGGGACAAAGGCCCCTTCTTGCCGGGCCTTCATACCCGCCACTTCGCCCAACACACCCGGTCCTTGTGTCTCCGGTCTGCCAAGGAGGGCAGGGGGGGGGGGGGGGGGGGGGGGAGAGTCCTTGGTGTGCGGATCACCGGGCGGGGCGAGGGAGTCCTCGGGAGGACCGCCGGGAGCCGAAGTGAGCACAGGTCACCTTGGCTGGGGAGGGGTGGGACGCCCAGTGGCAGACCCCGGCAGCGTCGGCAATAATAAACACCGCCCGGGTGAGGCGGTCTCGGTGGTGTGATGAGCGACTCCGGTGTGATCGAACAATAGCGTTTTAAGTGGATCTGAATAGGCAGACTATTGTGGTGTTCTGTTCCGAAGTGGCTAGCGGAGCGCGTCAGTTGCCCTCCCCCGGCCGGCTTGCGAGGAGCGAGGCCATGAGGGAGGGTTGGTTGGCGTCCTGGCACAAGTGGCATTTGGTCTAGTCGGTAGCAGGCGCGGCGATTTTCGGCTTCCCCAAGAAGGCGCAGAGGCGACCCTGGGCGCGGGGGGGGGAACAGGAGAAGGGTTGGGCGTGTACTTTTTCGGGCCCTTGGGCGTGCTCCTTTTTTTGTCCAGCTCCCCCAGCAAGTGGATCTTTTCAAAAACTCGGGGCGAGGTACAAATTGAGAGGTATTAAAATTCGAGCTTTTGTGCTTTTTCCCCCTCCCTCCCACCCCCGGATGGATTGGGTTCTTTCCTTCGGGCCGGTACGCGCGGAACCTGTTCCCAGTGCCGCGGGCGGGGGGGGGGGAGGGGGGCAGGGCGGGTTTCCTGCGTCCCGTCCCGTTATGTTCGTTCCTGGGCGGGCCACAACGCGGTGCTGGGTATCCGGGCGCGAGGGGGGGGGGGGGGGGGTTGCGAAGCCAACTGGCGCGCTTTCCCCATTTCCGGCGCGGGCCCGAGGTAAGCCCGTCCCAGGGTGCCCGTGCGCCGCGCTGGAGGAACATGCGCGCGTTGATGCAGGAGGTCTCCCCTTGCCGGAGGCGGTGTTCCGGAGAGGAGGGGGGCTCAGTTCGACTGTCCGCCGCCGAGACGGGCTAAGCCCGCCACCGAAACGGGTGAAGTCCGCTCCCTCAAGGGGAGGTATATAAGGTGCCTGGCCCGGGCAAGGTGAGCAACTTGCAGATGAGGCAGCCTCCTTACCAGAGTCCGTCTCCCGAGTTTTCTCCCCCTCTCCCCTCCTTCCAGCCTCTCTCTCTCTCTTTCTCCACCCCCTCCCCTCCATATGTCCAACTTCATCAACCCGAAGCCCTTCCTTGCCAACCTGACTGGCCAGATGGTCCACGTCAAGCTCAAGTGGGGTATGGAGTTCCGCGGGGTGCTCAAGTCCTTCGACCTCTACATGAACCTCCAGGTATGTCCATGCTGCTCCTCCCCCCCCCCCTCCCCCCTCCCCCTCCTCCTCCGTGTGAGTGGCGTCGGTTGGTGTCGGTCATCGTACTGATGATTGACGTAAAACTGACACCTCTTGTGTAAGTATCATGGCATTTGTCGTGACTGTGCACTCAACGTCTTCTCTGAACAAAGACCCACCACCGCGCCCTCCTCGCTCCTCTGCTGCCCCCCCCCTCCCGCTCTGCTCGCCTCTCTCCTCCCCTCTCCCTTTGTGCTGACCCCCTTCCTGGCCCATTCTTAGCTTCTTGACTGCGAGGAGATTGTCCAGGGCGTCGGCACGCCGATCGGCGAGGTCATGATTCGCTGCAACAATGTGCTCTACATCCGCGGCGCCACTGAGGCGGCTGCCTAAATGTGTGCACCTGGTTGCTGCTGTGTGTCTCCCCCCCTCGCCCTAGAGGAGACGACCCCGGTGGTCGTGATTCTCGGGATGCGGCCGCAGTGCTCCCCCTCCCCCTCCCTGTGCGCACAGCCTGATGCTTTGTCGTCATGTGCGCTGGTGTGTGTGTGTGTGTGCCTGCCTGGCCTAACGGGAGATACCGGGTGCTTCTGCTCTGGAAGCCCGGCTCCCGCTTCTCTCCGTCTCCGGAAGGAATATGATCGGTAATGCTCTCCTTTGCGCCTCTTCCCTCGAGGCGGCGTGCATTTTGCCGTCTTTTCCGACGGGGGTGCGCCGCGCGCGTGTCCTTTTCCCCGCACGCGCGTGTCCTTCACATCGCGGAGGCGCCCTGCTCTCTCTCCCTCTCTCTTTCCGCTCTTAAGCGGACGGTGACAGCGTGCAGAGGCCCCCTCTCGTGCCCCTCTCTTCCCCCCTCACTGTACATTATCTGTTGCGCCCTCCTTCCCTCCTGCCGGGGGCTGTGGGCCTGCGCCCGGTGTGTGGATGCGAGCTCCGTGCTCTCTTCCTCCTCCTCCTTTATTTTCCCCTCTCTCTTTCTCCCCCCATGCGGGGGTGCCCCATGTGTAACAGTCGACGAGCCACTTGCCTCTCCTGTTCCTTCACCCCCCCCAAAATACAAAGTCACAAAACCCCCACATACTACCCACCCTCTGACTGTTGTTTTTTCCCTTCTTTCTCGAACGCGTGCCTGTGTTGTCGGGGTGTGGGGCTTTTGGCGAGCGTGGCGGTTCACTGTTGGGATAGGTTCCATGCCCCTGTGTCTTGTTCTCTCTCTCTCCCTCTCTCCCTCTCTCTCCGTGTCCCCTGCCGATGTTTCAATTCTCGTGGTGTGCCAGTGTGTAGGCGGCCGGGCGCTACGTCCGCTTCCATGTCATCACGCTTCCTCCCCCGCCCGCCCGAAACCTTCTAGCAAGAATGCAGCGGTGTGGACCCTGTGCCTCCGAGGGGACTGGGTGATGCCCCCCCCCCCTTTTGGATGAAAGAACGGACAGGCACGTGCTACTTCGGCTGGGCACAGATACGCGCACGCGTACGCACACACGCACACTCACACGCATGTGGATGGCGCTGGCCTTGCCGGGAAGCACGCCGATTGCTACCACCGAATCATTCGTTGGCATGTGGGCTTAGTCTCCAAGGTTTTTTTCCCACTGGGGTGCAGGCTGCCCGGCCCCGGTGGAGGCGTCATCCCCACCTCCCTCTACCAATCGTATTATCTACCCCTTCCAGGCTGAGAGATCTCTGCTGGTCCGCTCCCCCCTGGCCCTCTTTCTTGCATTCGTCCCCTCTCCCCGCCCACCCAGTCAACAGCCCGCGAGCGTCACGCAGGCACAGACACACACACACACACACACGCGCTCTTCCCGATGTCCAACCAGGGGAAGGCCGCCGTACCGGGCCGCCGGGCTGGCTCGGGCTCGGGGAACATCTTTCTTCAGGACAGCGACGTTGGTAACCGTCCAAGTGTGTCTCTCCTCTCCTCCCTACCAATGGGGTAAATGTCTCACTTGCTGTCTCACTTGCCGTCCCTCTCTCTCTCTCTCTCTCCCCGTCTCTCTCTCTCTCTCTCTCACTGCAGGCCACTGACTTATCCGCTTCTCGCCGTTCGCCCGGCCAGAGCGCCGCGTCAAGCAGCTCTATTCACATGATAACAACTCCAGCGGCGAGGATTCCGACTTGGGATTTGCTTCGGACGGGGCAGACTCCGACATGGAGGACCACCTGTCGGGCCCGGATGCTCGGCGGAAGCGCTCTCGCTTGGAGGTGGACCCGGTGACCGGGCGTCCGGTGGGCCCGGCTGCCGGTGACGCCGGCTCAGATGAGGATGACGATGAGGCGGCTGTGCCGCCGGAGTTCCGCGAGCGCCCATCTGCGCCCATTCGTACGAGGGATCGCCTCGAGCGGGGCACCCTGAATCGGCTCCTGGCCGATGACAGCGATGTGCGAGGGCTCGGCGAGCGCGCCGGTGCCTCGATCCCCGGCGAGACAACCTCCCTGCAGGAGGACGAGTCCTCCGTCGGCATTGAGGCCTTCAACCTGGATGCCGAGATGCGCAGTGGGCAATTCGACCAGACCGGCTTCTTTGTGTCTCGTGCCCTCGGCGGCCGGGGGTCCCGGACGGCGGGGGACTCCGACGATTCCGATGCGGCCAGCGACTCGGACGAGGATGTCGATCGGGTGACTGCCGAAGAGGCGTCCTTGATGAATTTCGACAAGGGTGCCATGGTCGAGGTGTGTCTCAAGTCTGCGTGCATTTGTTTCCCCGTCTGCTGGCTTGTCATTTTGTCGACTCCAATCGGGCCTTTCCCACTCCAATCGGGCACTGACTCCCTCTCCCTCTCCCTCTCTGTCTCTCCCCCTCCACCTCTCAATCGGGTCCTTCTGCCACCGGTTGCCTCATGATCAGGCGGCCGAGGCCAAGCGCCGACAAGCCGAGGGGGCCGAGGCGGCCGAGGCCGAGCGCCTCGCGCGCGATGGGACTCTCGCCATCCCAAGCACCCAGCTCGGCATGCTGGAGGACTTGGCCCAGTATCTGGCTTCCGACCGGCCTCAAGATACTCCGGCCGCGGCGATGCGGCGACTGGCCGCGCCGAAGGGGGGCCCCGGTGCCCCGGGTGGAGCTCGTGTCCGGCGCCCGGCCCTGGCTCCCGAGGCACAGGCCCAGCTTGATCGACTGACCGCCCTGTTGACGGCCATGGTCGACCGGCATGACATGGTGGACATCTACCAAATGACCCAGGCCGAGGTGGCCCAGCAGATTGCCGCCCTCCGGGAGGCGGAGCAGGCTCGACGTGCGCGCACCGCGGCGGCGGCCGTCGAGCCCACCGATGCCGGGTCCGATTCGGATGACATGTTCTCCCTGGCGGCTGGCCCGGGGGTGGCTTCGCCCGCGGCCGCGACCACAGCTGCCCCGGCCGCTGGCCCTCTTCCCGCCTCCACATCGACCGAGGCCTTCTGGGAGTACAAGTGGACCGAGGATGAGGACCCCGCCACGCCGGTGTATGGGCCCTTCTCCTCGACGCAAATGCACGCCTGGGCCGAGGCTGGGCTCTTTTCGCAGACGCCCTCCGGGGCGGTGTTTGTCCGCCGGGCGGCCCCTCCTCCGGGGGCCGGCGAGCCGGAGGACTTCTCCGATGCGCCCTTCCGCTCATCCAAGCGCATCGACTTCTCCTTGTACATCGACTGAGCCACCGTGCGGGGGCGGGCGCGTGCTGCGAGATGCGGCAAAGAAAAATATACACCGAGTCTTTCCTGGCGACTGCCGGCCCGACACATGGAACTTGTCTCTGGCATGTGCAGATACCAGCATGGCGGACATGCACACACCCACACACAAGCACGCACGCACACACACACACACACACACGCACACACACACACACACACACACACACACACACACGCACACACACACACACACACACGCACGCACGCACGCACGCACGCACGCACGCACGCACACACCAGAACATGCCGCCGCGATGTGCTCAAGCTCCCACGACCAGATGCCAATGCTTCCGATCGCGTGGTCGTCCGTCGGAGCCTGGGGGCCAGCGGGGGACACCCACGCACGAGAGTTCACCTGCACGGTGCCCCCCCCTCCCCCCTCCCCTGGCAGTGGGACTGATCGTTGCCGGGCGGAGTCACACTTGGGACGGATGCAGCATCCTCCAAGAGTGAGTCTTTCTTGAGGACCGGGGTCGGAGACCCCGAGAGCACCAGCCACTCGATGGCATGCATCTCCCTCCCTCCCTCTCCCTCCCCCTCTCTCTTTGCCCGCCTCGCCGCTGCCTCCTTCACCGACGCCTGCCGCGCAAACTCCCCCTACCTCCTTTCCCATCCCCACCCCCTCCCCGTCTGGTATACACCCGCCCTTTGTCTCTACCCGCCCGCGGCCAGGATGTTTGTCCTGGTGAAGTTTTCCGACAGCGTGCGCATCGCGCCGGCGGACTTCAGAAAGAAGCTCTCGGACGCAGTGATCGATGAGCTGAACAAGAAGTATGCCAACAAGGTGGTCAAGCGGGTAGGCCTCTGCATTAGCCTGTTTGAGCTGCACTCGGTCGGTGACCCGCTGGTTGTCCCGGCCGATGGGTGCACCCATGTAAAGGGTGTGTGCTTTTATGGTGTTCCTCCCCCCCCCCCCCCCCCCCCCCCCCCCCGCCCGCCTTCCGCCCGCCTTCCGTCCGCCCTCTGTCCGCCCTCTGTCCGCCCTCTGTCCGCCCTCCGTCCGCCCTCATCCTTCCAGGCGAGATGCCCTGCCACAGTGGTGTTCTGACTGTCATGCCATTGCATCTGCTCCTCGCTTGATCGTCTGCCAGTCACCTTCACGTATATTGTCTTCCGGCCATTCGTCGGGCAGATCCTTTCCGGGCGCATTAAGAAGTGCACCCCCGAGGGTGTCTTCGTGACGTTGGGCTTCTTCGAGGACATCCTCATTCCGGCGGACCAGCTCCAGGAGAACACGGTTTTGTGCGTGCCTCGATGTGTATTGGCGCCTGCTCTGTGCGACCATTTGCCCCTGTTTTTCCCCCGCGCTCACGGGGGACCTATGCCCTGCTCTAACATCGACACCTCCCATGTTACCTGGGTGTTGGCTGGCAGCGACCACGAGGAGCAGGTTTGGGTGTGGAACTACTTTGATAACAAGCTCTATATGGATGTGGAGAACCGCATCCGCTTCCGCATTGTGGAGCATGTGTATTTCGAGCAGTTCAAGAAGCCCACCGCCGCCACGCCGGGCGCCTTCCCGGCGGAAGAGCAGGCCGACACCAGTGAAGCCGCCCCCACTCAACCGCCTTTCTCGTTGATTGTGCGTCTCGCGTCTCGCCTTTTGCTCCTCCCCCTTCCTCCCTCCCTCTCTCTCTCTCTCTCTCTCTGTCTCTCTCTCCCCCCTCCCCCTCCTCCTGCCTTCCGCCCGGCTCCTCTGTCATCTTGCACTGACCTTCGATCATGTCCCTGTCTCCCCCCTCCGAACATGCAGGCCGCGGCCAACCAGGACGGTCTTGGCCTGGAGAAGTGGTGGCAGTAGTCTGTCGCCCTCCCCCTCTATTCCCCTCACATCTCCCCCTCCCCCGACACAATAGAAGACCCCATGGCGTCACTGAGAGGACTCCCGTCGCGCGCGGGCGGTGGCGGGGCAGGAGGAGAGGGGGCATTGTTTGAAAGATGTGTGCAGGCATGCGGGCTACCGATGCGGCATGGCGGCAGGACCGCGCACCACAGGGGCCTGTGGGTGGAGCAGGGAGCTCAGATCGGAGTGGGACTATAGGGCATGCTGAGCAAGGCAAGTCTCCGGGCGGGTCCACGGTGTCTGACCGTGTCTTGCGCATGTGGAGAGGTCTCCCTTGCTCCTTCCTCAAACACACACACACACACACACACACACACACACACACAAACACACACGCCCCAGGGCTCTTCCCCAGAAGATGGAGTACGGGGGCAGAGAATGTAAAGCACACAGAAGCGGATGGCAAGGAGAGGGGGCGACACAGACGCATGATGCCTCTGGGCGCCCATCCGTTGGGACCTCGCTACCTGCACTTCGATCTGCTCGGCCCGGATGCGGCCCACGGTGCCCCGGCTGATGAGCGCGTTCGAGCCGTGTAGAGCACGCCGTGTCCATCACCGGGGCCCCGGTGCAGCGGGGGGAACGGAGGGGGCGGGGGGAATTGAAAAGTCGGCACCTGCGCGCTCCCGGGGCCGTGTTCGGACTTGCGCGCCTGGCATCCCCCCGCCCCCGCGGCAGTCTGTCTGTGCCTGCCTTTCTTCGCGAAATCGGCCCCCCTCCCCCCATTAGCCTCATCTGCCGGCAGGTGGTCGGGTGCGTGGGCGTCCGTTTGTGAGTGGCCGTTGACTGTGGCCAGCGACGGCCGTTGTTTGCAGAGTTACACGGCTCGGGGAAGGGGGGGAGGGGGGGGGGGGGACCAACTGGCCCTCATCAGGGCAGATGCACACCATCTGATCCCGCACGCGGGGCCGAACTCTGCGCGGATGGTTCACGCTAGCTGGGCTTGCGCCTTCTCCCGGGCCGGCCCTCGCTCGTGGGCTTTCCTGCCCGTTCGCCACTTGGCACTGCCTTTCAGTGCGTGCGCGCGCGCGCGCGCGTGCGTTTCCGGGCATGGCGTTGTGTTAGTGAAAATTCTAGACGCCCGCAAATTACCACGTCGAGCCAGCCACGGCGAGGGGGGGGG